ATATTAAATTTATACATAAATAATCCAGATTATTGCCTGTAAAAAAATATTAATCAAATATCACAGTGTTTACACAAAATTACAAAAAACAGATTTTAAAATAATACTACATCAAAATATATGAAAAAGAGATATTTCTTTTCAATAAAAATTATAATTTATTTTAACGTATAAAATAAAATATATACAAATATATCTTTTCATACATATTTTCTCTCTTAACAGTGAATTTCATTGCAACAGCAACTCGGTTTTTTTTTTGCTTCGCTGACTTCGAAAGAGACAATGCTTGATACATTACATTACACAAAAAGAAAAAACCGAATTCAATCTAATTCCATTGAATCTTGTCGCAAAACGCATCTAGTCGTAATCCAGTTCGTAAAAGGAAACCGCACTTTCTAATATAAATATTCGATTCACCGGTTAAAACGTCGCCACCCTTTGTGAGTAAATCAGAAGAGATTTTCAATCTCAACGTATTTTCTCTCTCTCCTTCGCATGAAAGTAAAACGAGAAGAGCTCGCATATCCTTACGTAACACGTTTCTCTCGACCCCGCGAAAAAAAGCTTTACACGAACGTCTTTTAATCTAAATTCTAACGATAATCACACATTTGCTTCTTTCTTTCAATTATTTTGTAATTCTTAATATCACAATATCGCCACTAAGGTCTTTAATCGTTATGACGAAAAGCAATCGAAGTGAAGTTTAAAGAAACACAACGGAAAGAAAGTAAAGAAATAAAAAAAGTATAGACACAAAGGAAACACGAACAGATATTAACCACAAACGTAAGTAGTAATACGTACGGTAGTCAACGAATAATAATAATATGAACATGACAAATTAAAGCAAAAATCGTGAACAATAATTTAATGGCAGAACGTTAATCCTCTCTCTAATTCTTCAGCGCATTAAACGATGAACGAGAGCTCATCTCGTCATTGTTTCTCCGTGAAAATCTGAAACTATATAGAGTTAACACCAGAAGTACCGAGCAATCATTTTTAAACATTTCTATTTTTTAAATTAATATCTTTTTTTACGTTTTAAAGATAACAAATAATCTTCAAAATTTTTTAACTTTTCATCAATTATTCTTTTCATTCTGATGGAATATTAAATTCAGAAATTTTTAAATCCTATTTTTTATATTATAGAAAAAAATGTTAATTAAAAAAAATGAAACCTTCAAAGATAACCGTTTGGCACTTTTAATGTTAAAGCGATACAGTTTCAAGACGGTTTATCCCTTAGATTATATGGAGATATAACTGAGATTTAACTATCTAGTCTAACAGATATATATTCACATAATTAATCTGTATATAATTTTATATTTGTTAAACAACAAGATTGATTCTTGTCTCTGAACTTAAATAACTCTGAACTTAAATACATTCTGATGTGTGCGAAATCGTATCGCTTTACTCTATCTTTTAATTCCGCTAACTACAAATGAAAAATCTATGATGTTTCACAAATTGGGAGCTTTTCACAGAATTCATTTCGAGAACGTTCATCAAAATAATTTCCTATTCGCCGAACTGAAATCTCTAAAACACAAAATATTTGCACAAATTATAGCTGAAACGAAACAGTGAAACGCCACGCATTAATACGGATTAAAGACGAAGGCATATTTCCTTCGTCATCAAATTCGATGACTTGTTGCTGTCAAGATAAATTATCCGGTAATGATCATATAAACATTAATATATCTATTAGTAATATATCGCGAGAACGATTATCAGTATCGCGACATCGAGAGAAGATGTTATTATAATTGAATGAGATTTTTTTTCACACACAGCGACTGTTATGAAGGGAGAAAATGACGAGGGAGAAAGATCGATCGATGGAATGACGGAATGAGCTGAACATCTGTATCATCTACCAACAGGGTGTCCCAGAAAAATGTGCACTGCGAGAATACCATATTAACATTTGTTGCAATTTTTAATTTTTAACATTTTCTTTTCTAGAAAGTTCAATAGAAAAACGTACGTATAGAACGTGAAAATTAATTCATTAATTGAATGTAAGACGATTCGATTATATGTTCAAATCATTCTCAAATATTGATATCAAGAGCAATCACAAGAGATAACAGTCTCATTCCTTTGGGATTATCCTGCAAGATTTTTATAAAGGGTTTTCCTATTTGGGAAATATGCTGCCACATTATTTCCCACATGATCATTTCGCATTTCACAATGAAAAATGGACAATGGATGTACTCGTCCGTGGGAGACCCACGAGCTTCGAAAGATTCGTCACTAAACATCCGACGCGACTAATAGCTACCTGACTATGATTAATCAGTAAAACGCGCTGTCTCTAAAACTAATTATACTTGCTACGTATCACGTGAAATTTGTTACAAGTCTTATAATCACATATCCTCTTCGAGAACGAAGACGCGAGAGCCTCTCTCCTCGCGATATAAGATCTGCTACTACTAGAACTTGTCTCGCGCTATCACAATTATCGAACGCGTAATAGGCCTCTCTCCTTGAATATAGTATTGCATGATGATAGCAGACAAAACAAAGAGCGATCTTGTTGTCGTTAACCCTTTAACCGATTCAGCAGTGAGACCGTCTTAAATATATCATACAATCGCACAATACTTCTAACTCCAAATCTAGATCCCTAGATTTTGGAAGTCTTAAATTCTACGATCCTTAATTTCACAAACGCTTTATGTCCTTAAACTTTACAATTTTCAATTTCTATCTTGTATCTTATAACTAGTCTTGCAATTTTTTTTCTTTTTTTAATTTCCGCGTCCTTCAAACCTAGTTGTTCAATTTACGTTTTGAATTTTGATTCAGCAAGTTAAATTCTCTGATTTCAGATTCTGTAGTTTAAGATGTATGGATTTAAAATTTTTTAGATTTTGTTAAACTACTAGATTTATGGACGCCTAGATTTTTGGATTTTTAAATCTACGCATTGCTAGACCTTTGATACAAGATCTAACTTTTCGACAAAACTATTGCGTTCAAACTGCAACCATTTTATGCTGGAAAACAGCATTTTCTACAAACTTACTTCATTTCTTTATGGATCTATCGAACAAATTTTAAACATTCATAGAACAAATCTCATTTCCGCACTCGTGCGAGTATCCTCGTTCAAAAAGATGCTGTGGTCTCTTATAAATGAAATATCATTCGTCTCATTTATATCATATAGAAAATCTAAATGTAATTTTTAAGTTAAAGGGTTAAGTGCAACTTCTCATGATCGCGGCCATAGTACGCGAATTTTACAGCATGTCATTTTATAACGACGGAATCTAACCTCAGGTCCGCATTGCTGTTCTTCCGTCTTAGATTTTTCCTTTCCTGGTCTTTCGGATATTATATAAATTTGGCTGACGCCCACAGGGCGGCAGACTGACAAAAATGGCCATACCCGTTTGCGTATATGGACAAAACGGGTGATTGTTAAACGAGCAAAACCCCAGGGTATGATCTCGAGGCTGCTCAATGAGATTGCTGGTAAGATCTGTAGAGTTTCTTCTTCTGCAGAGTGAAGTCCCTACTGATCATGATGGTACCGCCACGCGTGAGATTTACTAAAAAAAAAAGAACAAAAAAATATGTTTTTAAATTTCAATTCAAATAATCAATGCAAAAAATATATACAATATATACATTTCACGACGCGACGTTTGTAAAAACAAAAAAGTTGAACGAATCAAAATTATCGAATTACGATCTAATCGTACAACCTAAGTGACGTCATAGGGCTTTATTTTATCGAAGCGAAAATATGAATAACAACTGTTAATTAGAAAATATAATAACAGGATATCTAGAATTTATTATCTCGGTCGTACGATACAAAAGAAAAAAACAAGATAGACTTTCATACAAGATAATGTCCCATTGATGCAAATGGTTTAAGACTGAAGGCTTTAATCGCAAGACTTTATTTCGCGATACTCACTTTAAAAATTGAGGCAGCAGCATGTGCCAGGACGTGTGGTCCTGCTTCAGGGTGAGATAAAGCTCGAACGTCGATACAGCACTGGGATCGCACTGTATTCTCGACAATTTGCGACACATACTGTCGGTCTCGAAACTAATAAACAACGTGCAGCCTCTACAACAAGCACATATCGATCTTTCAAACATATTCAAAAATTAAGGAATTAATTAAAATTCAGTTTGGAAAAAAAAACTATTGCTCTACAGCGAGAACAAATCTGCTCCCGGTAAAAATTTTATATATTTTTATTATGAATTCGTTAATAGAAAAAAAAAAATCTATTAGCCGGAGTTAAAAAAATTTAATAATAAAACTCGGCTAAATTTTCGTCGGAGGAAAAGTTCGCGCCCCGAATATCTCAACTCGATAATTAATTGTTGCAGATATCACCTTTAACGCTGCTCGCGAAAAAATAACTTCGCGAGAAAGTTCCGCGTTGTTTTCCGGATGGACACTTGTTGCGCGAAATAATATTTATCTGGGTTCTCGAATTGCGCTGAATTGTTCGATCACAAGGGGAACGCAAGGGTTTCGGCAACACGGCAATTCTACTCACCGCAGGCCGCAAGGCTCGTTCTCCGCCATGGTAAGTACGTCTTTGGCGATCTTGGGTAGCAAATCGGCAGGCAGGAGGACCTCGCCGCAAGCCAGCTGGGCGTGTTTAGCCCTCCTGAGCTCGACCTCCAGCCTCTTAGCCAGTGCCTGACAAGCACCGTCCAATTCATCCGTCTCGCTTCCAGCTGGAACAATTAATTAGATGGAATTAAGCGCGCGCGCGCTCTCAGCCTCCCGCCGAGTAAACTAATGCTAAAGCGGTCAATTGAAAAGAAAGTTGCGGATCACTTTTTTCCATTTTCAGGCCTAGATATCTCTCAACAATAATTTCCCCCCCCCTCTCCCCGATTGCTCCACCGAGGAAAGATTCGAGGAACAATATCAATTTAATTAAATCCAATTACAGTTGATAAAAATTACATAACTGTTAAATTAACTATTTAAATTAGGTAGTTTCTCGTAATTTAATTTTCGCAGAAATTAAATTTTTGCAAGAAATGTCAGGACAGCTGAAGGTAAGTCTGCAAAAAGTCTGCTGGCATGTCTCGTGCGCGATATCTTTCGGGATTATAAAAATGTAGACTGACGTAATCTCGGAGTAACATTAATTCGACCGATATCTGCGGATTGTGAATGCAATCGAAAACCTCCGGAGGGGAAGCGAAAAACATATTTTGCTGTTCGATTGATGATTCATGTTATCTGCCATTCCACCCGAATGTAAGACAGATTCCGATATAATTTTAATCATGCTTTAATAATCGATTTCCGATTTCGCGATTAGGCTCGATGGCGCGGTGTTGCCATGAGTTTTACATTCGAGTTACTCTCGGCTCCCGGTTGTAATCGCGATTAACCATAGCGCTGAGATCATCGTTTTATTATTTAAAACCGACGCTGTCTGTAAGTGTAACGTGACAAAGAGCTATCAGAAAAGGAGACGCTGACACAATCAACATTGAATCTACCTCGCCACCAGGTACTTCAATTTTTCTAATATTCCCGATTAACGCACGATCATCAAAAGAATATTCAAGCTATAAGTGTTTTCTCTTTTCTTCTTTTCCTTTATATGTCGATCACTCGGTCAACTTTTCTCGAGCTTGCTCCGACCATTGTTTCTAGCGGCCGGCGAAGACAAGGTGAACTCGTCGGTAATGTACGAACACATTTGACCTCAATTTTTTTATCTATCTTATCGCGTTTAACAAAAATTGCAAATGTCGTTTAACTTAAATAGCTAACTCGTTTGTTTCGTATGCCAATATTTCTGAAAATATCTCTGGCACTCTCGTCTTTGTCACCAAGGCCGCTCGAATTGAAAAACTTTACTGGCTAAGTAGGTCACAAAGCGTTTTGTCTGTTGAGAAAAAAAAATACTTATTACGTTATGTTTCTCGTATCGCTAGGCTGACGAAACTTCGTTTGTATTGTACAGCGATCTCTGAAAGAGCGATTAACGTGAGGCTTCTTCTTCCGTACACGTTCGTTAATCCGTATTTATTTACCGGAGACTCGAAAGCACTAAATTTTTGGAAAATTTCCATTTATAAACACACGCCGAGAACAGTTAAATGGTAAACGCGATGGGAACAATCGAAGAACATAGAAAAACGGCAACGAAGGGCATTTCCCCTTCTCTCCCTCCCACCCTTTTTCATCGAATAATTGGAAGACGCGACACGCTGACGCAACCATTCGTGATTTCGCCGGTAAACCGCCGATGTGCCACGAAATCGGTCCTACGTTTATATTTCGAGCCTGGTGCGAACTTTTCGGGTGATGCATTCGGCGAAAACGCCGTGTCGCGACAGCGAAAAATCAGCTGATTTCCAGCCGGCGTTGTCAGCTGAGAGAACGGCTCGCTCGGAGGTGGAACGAAGACTGACAATTGACGGTGCGAGGAGAACGGTCAAGTTAAAGGGAAACCGGCATTGCAAAAATAGTCATGTTCGCTTACCTCGGGTGTTGCTGAAGTCCACGTTGACGGGACACGGCAGGACCTCCATGATTTCGCGAGAACGTCCGGCGGTGGACGCACAATGGACACGGCTCTCTCCTGTCGGCTTCGCCGGACGGCGACGCGATTTTTCCTCGAGAAAGAGACGTCGACGAGCGAGAACGACGAGTGAGACCGTTGGGCAAAAGCGCGACAAAAGCGATCGCGGAGGGAGCAATGGATCAGACAGCGACAGGCAGCGATAGTAAATCGGACGCGTTCAAACAATCGGTGCTTTCACCAAAGCTGCGCGAAGCGAAAAGCCAAAGAATCAAGACTCACGATAACGTCACCCGTCCAACTGGTCGGCCGCCGGTCGCTGACGCGACTTATATACGAGGAACCCTACCTCGCGGAGGGTGCCCACCCCCCGCGCCCCACGTCGCCACCGGTCGACCGCCTAGCAACACTGCCTACGTGACGTTTCGGCAGTACCGCCGTGCCTCGGCCATCTCCGTCGGCACTCGCACCGTCCTTCGGCCGCGCTCGGCATCCCGAGCGAGAACGTGCAAGAGCAGGCGAGAGCGTGTGAGAGCGTGCAGGAGCGATTCACTCCGGAGGGGATCCGCTGTTGCCGGCGGTGACGACGGTACATCGGGTTTTCTTTTTCTTCTTTTTTTTCTTTTTTTTTTTCTACCCACGATGCTCGTTTTGTTTCTTCTCTTTCTCTCTCCGTGTGTCTCTCTCTTTCTCTTTCTCCTTCCTTCCACTGCCATGCATCGCCTTCTCATCTCTCGGTGACTACGTGCATTACGTCGCGCAATCTTTTATCGCGGCTTTTAACGCGGCTCGAGACACGCGTATTAAACCGCAGGTGAAATTACTAACCGGGCCCTTCGCCGGTAGCGGGTTTTCAAGAGCGTAGGTGATTTAGGCAGAAATCGAGAGATCTCCCCCTCCCCGTCCCCCTCCCCATCGCCACTCCTCCCGCCCGTGAAAAAAAGACGGATCGTATACTTCCTCCTGGCTTCGTCACCCGGTGGGGGAGGGAACAGAGAAACCTGTTTTAGAAATTCAGAGGTGTTATGTTTTGCCGTGCCGCGGGATCAGCTGACCCTGATTATGGCGAAGGTTATGGTAAAAAGTCGTCACGCCGGGAATCACGATTAAAAAAAAAATCTTCTGACAAGAATTTTGAGAGAAGAAACTTATATACATTTAGGGGACATGATGAAATAATAAATCGAATTTAAATGTACATCTCTCATAAAAGCTGATTATAAAAACTGCGGATATTGCGTAAGATTTCTCGATTGTGTTAAGAAGCGCTCGTTCACGGCGACGCTTGATCTAAGCTTCGCGGGTCGCACGAAAAGTATTTCAAAGACGTTGATTCACAGAAGGCGATATTTTTACTTTATTGTTGCGTGCAACGAAATCGTTTTTTTTTTTCTTCTCCTTTATAATCGTACGTTTACGTCGTTCGGTACGCGATTAATCGTGAGATGCAGAAAAACACGATTATCTTCTGCTATTTTTTTTTCAGACGAGTAATAGCCGATCTGTTTCCTGCGGATTTATTTTATTTCGATTTATCCATTTTATTTTTCCATCTGTAAGTCGCACCGTCACGTTACGAAACAGAGAAAATGTTGTTTGCTCTTTCGAGGAGAATTATTTTTCGTCGCCGACAAATAGGTTGTACGTGATAAGTATATTTTTTATTTATCAGTCTATAATCCGGAGGACACATTGGGTCGCACGCGAGAGGAGGATTTATGTAACGAGAGTTACAAGATTAGCGCGCTTGCCGTTTACAGACGCTTACCGTTAGTTTTAATACAAAGACAGTCACGTTCAGACAATAGATCCGCCCGTGATGCATTTGGAGTAAAAGCTCTATATTCTCGGTAAAGAAAACCGTCGCGATTATGGAAATGGCGAGAGAAAGAGAGAAGGGAATAGGTAAGAAGATTAAGGGCAAGAGAAAGGTATGACGAGGGAAAAGAGAATTATTTTCTTGCATTGTCGAGTTTGTTCTATTTTAAAAATTGTGGATGCAATCTATTAAGAATACTCAAGATAAAGGCATTCTAAATTCTCTTATAGAAATCTAATTTAATATGGCCAATGTAATACGGAAAATTATTTATTTTGAATGTTAAAAGTATATATCGTTGTTCGATGCTTTTAACATTCAAAATAAATAATTAAATCATTATCTATCAATATTAAATTTCCATAATATAGATAGAATCTTCCTGTTTGTCCGCTCTATTTTTGATATTCCTGTTAACTCCGGGGATGAGTGAATTTTAGATCGACGAACACGCGAGGAAGCGGCGAGAAATAAACGGAGAATAAACGTAAAATAAACGCGGGGGAGCAGTACGAACACCTGTGACACTCCGAGGGGTTGGACAAAATACTACACGGACCTCAACAATACCAGATCGGTGCTAAGAATCCGTAACGATAGCAAGACCCGAGAACCTGCCTGACAGGTCCCGACGATCTATAAATTTCAGAGAGTTCCATGCTCCCAACGATCCGTGAATCGAAAAATCCGTCGAACGAAATTTTGTCCACGCAAATATCCAATATTCATATCGCTGAGAATCTCGTAAACGCCAGCGCGTATCGCGTATTCGGATCTTTAAGACTCGACGATGTATATACGCTCTCTTATCGTAAGTTTATAAATACAGCCGGCTTAAGCGACATCAGCTGAAGAGTATCAGACAGATAAAACAATCCGGGCGATCACTCATTTGAGGCTGGGGATCGCAACGATTGATTTGCAATTCGGATCCGCACGTCCCCGCGGAGGGGACTCGGGAAATGAATACGTCATCCACCACAACGTGGATTAACTTTAATCTACTTTTTCACCTTACTTTTTAATTTTATTAATGTTCATTTCCACCGGTGTAGATCGACATTAATCTCTCTCTCAGGTTAATTCACTCTTTATCTTTTTTCTAATTCTTGGAACTGAAATAAGATGAAAAGTAAATTAAGCCGAGATTGAAGTTAATCTACATCGGTCACGAAATGGACATAAGGGAAGTTAATTTTTTTTTACTATATCAGAAAAAGATGAGAAATTAAATTGAGATTAAAGTTGATTCTACATTCGTAGAGATGGACGTAAAATTCGTCAATCCGCGGAGCGCGCAGGACCGGCGGAATAACAACGAGGCGTCTGTGTAGATTCTGGAGAATAACATCTCTATCGGAAGTCGCTGTTTTTATCTGTGGCCGCGCGCGATCACTTGTTCTCGTGCAAACAAGCTCTCGATAATAGACGCGACCGGCCCCCACGGCCGGCGAACACGATCAACTTTTGCGTTAGCTTATTCACGCGTCAATCAAAACACATTAATTTCGCGAGTCGCGCGAGAGGAGCGGATCGCGTTTCCGTAAATCGGGGAAAGAAAAAAGAGAGAGAGAGAGAGAGAGAGAGAGAGAGACAGAAAGGGACCTGTGGTCGCTTCCCGCAAC